TGAATTAAACTAAGATTGCAATTTTTATTCATTTTACTTTGACTATATTTTATGTGCTTATAAATTGCCAAGGACATGATTTGACTATTTTGGTTAAATGCCTAGATTTTTAGTGATTGGTTATTGTTTTATTGGTTTAGATTGTAGTGCCTTCCCTTTACAAAGCCCACTTTAAATAGGGTTTGTACTTTTTTGAGGAGACTACAACTTTTTAGATAGGCGAATATCTTGATATTTTTTTTCTTAGAGTTTTCTTTGGAGCTAGTAAATCTGGGAGTTGAGTTTAAGAATACTTTATATATTTTTAAGCTGGATTCAATTGCTGTCAATTAAGGTCTATATTGGGTCCATAATAGTTTAACAATTTAGCTATAATCACTTTTTGAAGTTGGTTAGTGTAAAACTGTGAAGAGAAACTGAAGGGAAATTGGGTCACAGTAGAAATGTGCGGAGCCAAACCTGATGTGATGAAAGATAATTCTTAATGAGAGATCTTCAGTCAGTGATCAGAATGTATGTGTGTATATTACTAAATGTTTTTCTGTTTTAGGCTTGAAATGGCCACAATCGCTTGCCAATCGTGGCTATATCCTTGTAAAATCAACAAGAACCTTTCATCTTTTATAACTTGTCTTTAGACCCCCTGGAGATTTCAGTTTTCTATTGGTGGAGAGAAATGCCGTGGATTTGCTGTAGAGATTGATTTTTAATCTGTATGGTTTGAATTTTATTTACAGGGATTTGTAAAAACAGAGAGGATAATATTATTATAAAGAGGTCAAAATGTTTCAGTTAGTTCATTCTATGGAATGGCACAATTGTTAGTAGAATCTGGATGGTAAAGTGTATATAATATACAAGGGAATGGAGCGAAAGGCATTGAAATGACTGATTATGGATCAGAGAGGTTGAATTGTGATTTTAATGATTTAGAGTGGAAACTAATTGCAATTGACACCCACAATAACAATGAAGAAAGCAAGCAATCAACCCAGAACAAGTAATGAAGAAATAAGCAAATTAAAGGAGACGATGTTACCGTGGGTCGTGGGAAAACCCGAGAACCGGGAGCAAAACCAACCTTACCGTATGGAGTAGGATGATGGATGAACTCAAGAATACAAGCATGAGTTGTAGGAGATTTCAATGCTCCTCACAAAACCTCTCATAAACCCTCAAGAAGTGTTTAAATGTTTGTGAATACTTCATAAAAGTGGGCTAAGGTAATATAGTCTAGGGCTTTCGAAACAATCCAACGGCTAAGATTAAAACACACCGCAAACCCAAAGAACCGAGCCGCAAAACAGGGTCATGAGGTTCGGGCGAACCATCCCCTGGTTCAGGCAAACCTTTGGTGGTTCGGGTGAACTCCTCTTGAGGTTCGGCCAAACTTTTAGGCAGTGAGTTTGAGCCAAATTTCCAACTTCATGTTCAGTCAAACCTCCAAGCTGTGCGGGCGAACCTCGCAGCACTTCTTCAACCTAATTGCAACTCCTTATGCATCCTTGATTCCTTGAATTGATCTTTTGCCATACCAATCCTACAACGAGGGAGTTGTCTGCTGTGTTTTTTAGCTTTTGACTCTGGGTTGTTATCACTTGCATAGCTCCTTTTTTTTTCTTCTGTTTTTTTTTTTTTTTTTTTTTTTTTTTTTAAATTTTTTTTTTTTTAATAACTTTTTCCTCATTGTAATCGCTTCAGCAGCAAATTAATCATCTTTCACTCATATATTAGCTGGCCAGTCTAACAGCTGAGCTGCTGGCCACAAATCATTCAGAAAGTCTTTCCTCAGCTCCCTTCATTTTTCTTTTTCTGTTTGAGTCATTGCTGCTTGCTTATCAGTTTTTTTGTTTGTCTTCTTTCCTATAATATAAGCTCGGGTACTTATTTGTTACTCATTGACTTATATTTTCATGTCATGTTCTAAAGGATATACAATTATACATCTTATGAGTGCTGAATTTGTTTATGGTCTTGTGAATCACAATCTTTTCATGCCACCTTGCAGGATGGTCACCCCCCTATTGGCTGGAGTGATACTGCAGCCTATCTTGTTCTGCCCGTTCTGCTAGTTGTCTCGCAATATGTTTCGATGGAGTTGATGAAGCCTCCCCAAGTAATGATATTTCTTCTGTTTTTTATCCTTCACCTTTTTTTTTTTTTTTAAAAAAAAAAAGATAAAAATAATTATATATATATATATATAAATTTTAAATTTAATGTTAATAATTGCTGAAAGAAATTCTTGGACAGACTGACCCGTCTCAGAAGAATTCACTTCTCGTTCTCAAGTTCCTTCCTCTTATGATTGGCTATTTTTCCTTATCCGTCCCATCCGGATTATCCATCTACTGGTCTGTTCCCAAATCCTTCTTTCCTTTCCCATTTATCTTGATTGTTGTAGCATCTCATACTATTCGCATATACCTGCATTGGCAGCACCATAATGGTATCATACTATCATGTATAACTGGTCATAGTTTTGGAGGAATGTTCCTCTATTAAATCGTGATGAAACTTATATTTCTTTAGTTAAAATCAGTACTAGAAAAAAATGTTTTATCAGACTTGTTTTTGTTCCATGACTTGAACTATAGTCAATAGTACAAAGGAATGTCAAATATACTTTATCGTAAACGACTCATCCTCTAAACTATACAATTTTGGTTGACAGGTTTACAAATAATGTCCTCAGTACTGCACAGCAGGTATGGTTACGCAAATTTGGTGGTGCTAAGCCTGTTGTGAATGAGAACGCCAGTGGAATTATTAGTGCTGGAAAGGCAAAGCGGTCTGTATCCCAACCTGCTCAAATTGATGACAGGTTTGAATCATTCTCAGATGTTATAACTTCGATATTTTTGTGTTTCTCTTGACAGCTAACCTAATATTCCTCTTAAAAATATTTAAAATAGGTCTAGACAATTCAAAGGAGAAGTGAGAAGGCAAGAAATGAGCAAAGCACTACCAGATGATCAGGCATCTGTTATTGATTCTGAAATAGGGTCAGATGATGAATTGAAAGAAACAGTGAGTAGCTGACCATGGATATATTATATATGAACAGATGTCACTAAGGCTAATAGTCTTTAACTGTTTGCTAAATTCCCAGAAAGCTTTATGTTGGTGGCAGTCCTGACCCTTGGCATGCTAGTGTTAGTAGATAACATTTCTTCGTGTAAAATACTTTGTTGTTCATGTTTGTGGGGACTTGGACTGCTCATCTAACTTGGTGCATATGTTCTTGTGTGGCCATGGTATGGAATGATATATAATTAATATATTACATCAAACTTGAATTGATTTTGAGTCATTTGTATTATAAGATGTTTAAAGTTTTGAAGCCAGTTGATAGCTAATAAGGCATGTGTTGTTTAAACTTTTAACCATTTCTAAAGTAGTATTTTATGACTGATGGTTATGAAGTGGATTCTGCCCATTCTGGAACCATACCTATCTTATGGTATGTCAGATTTATGAAACTATCACTTTAAGTGTAACTAATGAAATGCCTTACAGTTGGCTTGGTAATTATCTTTTTGATCCACACATCGGTGAGTAGCACTGGAGATAGTTTTAAACTTTTATGTGTAATTGCATTGATGTGTTGTAGTGTATATAATTGTGGGCATTGAGATTGATAAGAAATACCAAATTTCTTATTTCTGGACCTTATATAGAAAGTGCTTGTTGCATGTCGAAGAACTGTAATGTGTATATTTTCCTCGACTAATCAAATTACTGTGTAAAATTATGTCTCCAAAGGATGGAGACCTGTAGTTCTTATTTTCTTGAGTGCCATTGTGCATCTTGTGTTCAAGAGGAATGTATGTGTGAGCCACTGTTCTTTTGTTTTGTAGTGGATTTCTGTATAAAATTTAGGAGTGAAACATCATCTTGGTGCTATAATGGCTTGAATATTATTCCTTTGACCTGAAGCTCTCTGATTATCGGTATTTAAATTTAATTCCTTTGTTTGAAAATTTTCCATGCTTCCATTATTCAGCTGTACTCCGAGAGTCATGTAATGATATAAAAGTGCTAACTTGGTAATTTAATGCGGATGATTCATTCTTGTGAGCATGTTTTGACAGGATGAATTGGAAGAGGCATATGCATCAAGTAGCAGCAAGCAGAATCCCAAGTATTCCACTCCAAAGAAGAGTAAGCGATCAAAGCGGAAGCGTGTGGGTTAATTGCATTAGTTGTATGTAGTTACTATTTAGTTTTGTATATTTATTGAAATCATACCCTAGTCACTAGTCAGTGTCATAGTTGCCGTTTAAATGGCTTGTTTGTTTCCACATTTTATTTACCATTGCCCTTTCCATGTAATTTGGGCTGACCACATTTTTGTAAAACTAAAATGTTACAATATTAAATAAGAATTAAAAGCAACCACAATCCTCGCACACCCTATTGTCATTGTTATCTTGTGTAGTTTTATGTAGTAGAAGGTGTGTAGTGCCCAGATTTTACATGAGCTCATTCTAGCAGATATTTTGGTTTTGTTGATTCTTTGCTGGACTCCGTATTGAAGAGCAATGTCTGGATTGTTGGTAGTCCACTGAGTTGTACTTGTTTGTACATTCTAGCTGAGTTGAAGTGTAGCTGGAGCCTCCTATCAGTATTTTCACCCCTATCTTTATAAAACATACTAACTGCTCTTTGTGTATGATCTTTGGTTATCTGTCTAAATTCTATTTACTTATAACTCATTGTGTTTCCACCTTATATGTTTGGTCTGGTTTTCATTTTCCAAGTATACAGCATATGCCTAAATCTAGCAGGGTTGGGCAGTATCAACTTGTTGAGGTAATTGCACAGATCATATTTATTTCTGCTTGGTATTTAGTGAATCTAACACTAGTTGTGTACTTGTGTGCTATGAAATTTGCTTCTAATATTGTTTAAAGCCATGAAACACTGATTCTCATGCAGGTTGAAATTTTTATTATGGCTTGTACTCCCCCACCCCCTTCCCCCAAGCAAACCAGTTATTTGCTATGAAACATTATTCTGAAAGTAAATTCATGCACTATCCAGTGGGAATTGAAGGCGACAACAAAGAAAGATAATGGAATTGAGATTATAAATACTTTCGCATATTTGTACATCCACAATATCCTAATTCTCATATTACGAATAGATGCTCCTGCATTGTCAGCTTCACTCTTCTTGCATAATCACAAGCATTCTTTCATGGTCTTGTTGGTGGACGGTGGTTTCCTACTGGATTTGGCCCAGATGGAGATTTATGGATTTTTTTCAGGTCATCCTGCCACAGCAAACTTCAATTGGTTAGGCAAGTGCTTATAAATCTTTAAATGATGATGGTTTACCTTGAATTATCTGTTATCATAATGAAGGTACATCTCAGCACCTACCCAAGTTGGAATGTGATGGTTGGTTGGCCACGATGAGCTGGACTGTAAAGATCGTAGCTTGAAATTGACTGCAAGATATAAAGAAAAAGGTAATTCCTTCATGGTTTGTATACCAGTGTGTTCCTTTTAAACAGGATAGAAATATGTGTTTTGCTTTAGCAATTTGCACTATCCAATGTGAATATTATCATTTTAAGTTTAATTAAAAAGAGAGATTAGCAGTAGCTTGCCTGATTTAGTAGCTTGATCCTTGATGAGTGTACGATTGAATTGAATAGCCGCAAAGAGAAACCATACTAAGAGGAGGAGGATGAGTATATGCCTTCTTGCCATCTCTAGTTTAAGATATTGTGACTTTTGAGGTTGAAGTGAATGAACTTGGAAGATGCAGGGAGGCTTTTACAATACTAATACATATTCGGTAATCATTGCACAACTTGAAACTTATGTAGGTTGTTGCTTGCTGTCTGGGAATCCTATGCCTTTACATGTTGAAGGCATGAAATGACAGGATGACCATTTTGTGAGTTGACTTCTTCTTGGTTATGATTGCTTCCATGATAGTAATTTGTTTGATGCTGGGTTTTAGTTCCATTTCTTTTATAAGATTTTTTTGGCGCCCAAAACAATGTTGTTGCCATGGATTCTGGGACCCACTAGTATCTACAGAGGCACTACCAGGTGCAGCTACTCTGATGACGTAGTGAGCATTTTAGTGATTTTCTGACAAAATGATGGTGCAACAGAATGTGAGAATGTGAAGTGGGCAGATATTGCCAGTTGCCTCTTTTTTTAAACTATATGCCTACTTTTTTCCCCTCACTGAGCTAGCTGCCCATTATCTGTTATCATGTGTTCTGTTGAATCTGATAAAGTAGCAATCTTTTTTGATTGATCACCCACCCTTTTTCTTGCTTGCTCTTGAATTCATGATCACTGTGAATTTTGTGGGATGAGTATGACTAACACTAGTCTGTGAACGACAAACTCAGTTCTTAGGATTTTCAGGTCCTGAAGTATTGTTAAGTTGGTTTTATCAGTAACTTGCAGTTATTGCTGTCCTTTTTTCGTTCTTGCTCGACATCATAGTATCATCTGATTTACATTGGTTCTAAATCTGCATGCAGCAGACACCATCTTGAATCTTCTTCGAGCACATTATAAGATTCAGCAACCTCAGTTATCTGGATCTAGAATAAGTAGTTTGCACTTTCAGGTAACCTCTCATGCTTAATATTCTGCTATGTTTAATCTGCTCTTTACATGTTTCAATACAATATCACCCGTAAATGGAATAGTCAAGTTAGTCATGTTGTCTAATAGTTATACATCTAATAAGGATATAGTGCTTTCTATCAACTCCCCCTCGACTAAAACCTAATTATAAGGTGGTTAATAAAGGTGTGTTGGTAAAAGAAAATTGGTGTTTGTTGTCTAGCATGTTTTTTTTTTTTTTTTTTTTTTTGACGGGGTTGTCTAGCATGTTAGAGGAATAGACTTTGCTGTACAAACAAGAAATTGTTTATTTTCTCATAAATAGCAGATCTGGAGCTGTGAAAGCCAGAGTTTAAGGCTTTTAGGGTTGAAAAGGGTGGAATGTGGATTAAAGTAATAAATCTCCAATTATAAGATGGCAATTGATTTCAACACAACAACTTATGATTTCCCTAGGTACCTCTGTAGAGTCAAAAGTGTAATGATTGCTGTCGGTATTAAGTAATGCACACATAGTTGTGTAGCTTGTAATTATCATATGCATGCTTTTAGAATAAAGTTAAAAGAGTTTAACCTTTTGTCCTTGTAGTAATCAATAATCATAGATATGCATCCAACTTTATTTATTGATTAATCATTTTATATCCTTTGGTTGATTTCCCTGGCTATATTTTATTCGTCTGTTTAATTTATTTTATTTTTTTTCTTTTTTTTTTTTTTTTTTTGTCTTCATGTTATCTGTTTAATACGCACTTCATAGTTAGAATATGTTGAATGCTGAATGCAGTGCCTCTTCGACCCAAACCAAAAATAATGTAGTCCACTAGTCCTTATTAGACTCCTTACTCCTCATGCTCAATTTTCACTAAATAGCACATGATTCATCTACTAGTAAACTTATTACCATTTTGGAAATGCGTTCGATCATTATAATTAATCAATCAATAATGGAGTTAATGGGAATAAATTTGTGTTGTAATAGGTTAGAAAAGTGATATACAAAGGCCCATGATAATGCTTATCAACCTCAAGTATTTAATTTTCTTCATAAATCTACATTACCAGTTTGCAAGTTTATGTAGAAAAATACGCAGTATAATTTTGAGGATGAGTTGGCAATCCCAAATATATTAACATGACACTATTGCATACATTGATATATATGAGTCATAGGACCTCAGGAGCTTTAGGCTCTTTTTCTCTAAAATGCAGCACATGCATCTAAATATCTGATGATCTGAATTAAGCATCTTACTGGATATTGGCCCAACGAAGTGGCTCAATGGACCTACTAGCTGGGCTTTTCCATTACCCAGTCCATAAAAAGCAAGTCGTTTTCTGTTTGGGCTCCTTTATGAATTATGATATGGGCTTCCAATTCTGGTCCCACTATCAAACACCCATCTCTCATTATGTTTTTCCTACAGACAAGAGCAAAAGCACGTACAACAACGTCGGCAATGTGTATTTCGTGGATTGCTAATGTCTTTGTGCTTTTTATCATTTTCCTCGGACCTCACGTCCTCTAACAAGTGTTTCTGCTTTTTGTTTCATGCATTTTTATTTAAATTTTTTAAGCATCTTTTTGCATGGATCTTCGCTTCTTTTTGTCCCCTTTTCTGTTACTTTCCACCTCTAAATTACTCCGTATTTCATAGTTTTCCCTCCATTTTATGTTAATCTATTGATCTTCCTTTAATCAAATACAGTATGAAGTTTACATTAAGCTATTTGTACCAACTTCTACCTCCCAAATAACTATCAATTAATTACAAGATTATCAAGTACAAGTGTACAACGTGCCTTTTCGATCTCTCCCTTAGAAGGTTTAATAAAATGGCATCGGTTTCCTTAGGCATTAAGCATAATACTGTAGTAAGATTAAGTCACTTTCGGAGTTTTGTCTTTTCCATTGGAGTTAATAATCTTCTAATAAATATTTAAAATCTTATAATCAACTAATTAAAATGAGACGTATTCACATATTGTTATTCAACCATTCTTATCAGCTATAATCCGTTATTATCGAAATAAAAACATTTTTGTCGAATGCCACGCGGGTATGCGGTTGTGTAACATATCTGTGTAGGGTTGCTAGATATCATACTTTATTTGAGTCCAAAACTCATTTCATTCATTCATTCATTGGCCTACATCGGGCTACATCCATTTGTTTTCTGTTACTCGTACAATGTTGCTCATTTTATTTGGTTGCAATAACCTAAGTAATATTTTTTTCGGGGTGTTCGATGTTTAAACATTGGATGCTCTTTTATCTAGGGTATTGCACGAGTGAAAAGGGCTGTTGTAATTTATTATTGCAATTTGCAAAGATACTGTTTCTTCCCATCCTAGTCTATGTTCCAGAATTTTACCGAATCTTAATTAATGGATTGGGTAATTGGATGGGTCGATACCATTTACCACATTTTATTAAATTAAATTACTCGGGGTTCCCTAGTTAAGCGCCAAGCTCTTTGTGGGAACTCGGAAAGCTTCAAAATTCAATGCTCATTGTATACTCTTTTATTTTAACCTATGGAAGTACTCAAACTAGCAACTTCCTTTTCTAAGTGCTCGTTTGATTCACATGGGTTTTTATATTTCATGAGAAATTTTTTTCCTTATGATTTTTCTAGGAATTAAGCTAAATTGTTTGGTTGACACTATAGGAAATTTCATTTCCTAGAAAATTCAACTCACCAAGGGGGGAGTTGGTGAGTAATTTCCCATGGATTGTGGGAATTTGTATTTTCCATGTTTAGCTTATTTTCCTCCAACCAAACACACCTGCATTTTAATACTTCCTAAAAAATTTCTTTTTCAAGAAAATTATATTCTAACTAAACAACACCTAAGTATTTTAATAGTGTCTTCTTTATGTAATCCAACTTGTGATCCGAAGATGAACACCATCAATGTTGGCTGATTTGCTTACTTATCAAACATTGTTTTTTCCAAAAAGGTCCAAATCTTTTTTGTTGTTTTGCCAAATGGTTTATTCTCAATGTTCTTTTCCAATGGGAATATGGAGTGATCTAATCTACGATCTACGGATAATCTCAACCCCAATTTAATTGTCACATTTAATATTGAATGTCCTCAATTAATTGCCACATTTCCTTTTTACGGAATAGTAAGAGTTTATCTCTACTTCACTACTGTAACATACTCTTAACTCTTAAGTCTTTTAACTCATTTTTTTTTTCTCTACCTTTTCAATTATACTCTGCATCAAAGTTTATAGCGCAATAATGTTACAAAATACACATTGATTTTCTTTTGGATAATGTTTAATTGGTGTAGTTTTTTCAAATACTTATTAAAAGAAAAGAAAATATCTTGCTCACTAATCTGTACTATCCGTATTATTCAACTCTATATAGAGTAAGTTATGTCGTATTTGCTTGGTTTGTCTTTAGTCTTCATCATTTGCCTGTATGATGAAACTACGCACCCTGAACTTTTGCAGTGTGTTGTTTTGGATTAACTCAAAACCAGTCTTTGTCATCTTTACCTCTGCCATTTACATGTGGATGCAATTATACAAACTCTTTTCAAGGTTACCCTAGCAAGGTTATTTAAGTCTTTTTACACATTCTTACAAAGTTATCCCTTCACCTTCCAGCTTTTATTTTTTCACATTTTTTTTTACCATAAGCTCTAACCTTTATATCTCCCTCCTATAAATACCACCCTCAAATCACTTCATTTCATCCAAATCAATATCTAATATAAACCAAAAAAAATGGCATTTGTTTCTTCTTTCTCTCTCCTCTCTTTCCTAGCCATCCTCAGCTTGGCCCAAGCCCAATCTGAACTTATGCTCACTGTTGTCAACAACTGCCCGTTCACAATCTGGCCTGCTATCCTACCCAACCATGGCTTCCCAGTCCTAGAAAAAGGTGGTTTCCCCCTCTCCTCCCTAACCCACCGCTCCTTCCCAGTCCCAAACACTCACTGGGCTGGCCGTATTTGGGGCAGAACTGGATGCACCTACGCTAACGGACGTTTCAGTTGCGCAACCGGAGACTGCGGTAGCCGCCTAGAATGCAATGGGCTAGGTGGGAAGATCCCCGCCACCCTAGCCCAGTTTAGCATCCACCACGGCAACAGGGACCACTCCGCTTACGGAGTGAGCCTTGTTGACGGGTTCAACCTGCCCATGACCATAACCCCCCACGAAGGCAAGGGAGTTTGCCCTGTGGTGGGGTGCAAGAAAAACTTGCTAGAAGGGTGTCCTGAACAACTTCAGTTCAGGGGCCCACATGGTAATGGGCCGGTTGTGGGCTGCAAGAGTGGATGTGCAGCCTTTAACACTGACCAACTTTGTTGTAGGAATCAGTTTAACAGCCCAAAAACATGTCACGCGTCATCTTACTCAGAGTACTTCAAGCATGGTTGTCCTGCTTCTTTTACTTATGCTCATGACAC